TTCTCCTCCGACTTGTGGCGTGCGCCTTGATATTGTCACACAAGGCGAAGGGACCTACAGTTTTACGCCGACTCCGAACGGCGATTATATTTTTATGAGAAGCTGTTTTTCATGGCAGAAATACGATCGGAGGTTTGCCATTGCCTGCCGACGGACGACCGCTGTTAAGAAAAAACATTTTTTCTACATTTTTTCCGATGTTGCTTTGACCAGGGTTTGAACTCGGGTCCTGCGGAGTGGAAGCGCGCACTGCTTACCACTACACCACAGCGGCCGCTGGGTATCAAATTAAAGATACAATTCTGCGGAGTTAAAAAGTAAAGATTTTTGGTTCACAAGTACGAATAGGTTTTGAAAATGCCTTTTAATCAACTTAATTTTTTTTTAAGATAATAAAGTTAGAATGAAGAACTTCGAGGGTGCGGTTGTGTGTATATTATTGCTTAACATATATATTTTATTCAAAAATATATATTTATCATTAAATGGGGTGTTGAAGGATATAATTTTTAATACCTTTTCGTTCTTGTACACCAAAAAATTTATCTTTTCCAATTGATATTCTATATTGCACTGAATTTTTGTAATATATTTTTGAATTAATCATATTTATGTTATTTTAAAGTCATTTAAAAAAATCTTTTCGTCATAGAGAAAAACATAGAACGAATGTAGTGAAGGTTATACGCAGGTCTGTGAAAGATATAAAAAATGATCTCGTGAAAACTGTGACACTAATAGCAGTTTCCTACCAAAAATGTGGCGGTAAAAATAAGTAGATAAGTCTGTACAAAGTAAAATTGAGTTTGTTATCTCTAATAGGCGTAGTCAAAAAGATAAGTAAATATACTCTTTACGTAACCCGAAAATGCGTTTAACATTTTTTCACTAAAATGTGCAACTCTTCCGATCCGGCATTTTTTCCAGCGACATAAGGTTTTTAGTTTAACTCCTTATCTGGTTATCTTCATACTGTGCAGAAGTATCTAGGTAAAATTTTAGGCGCTATGAAATCGCAAATGTTATATGAAATTTTGAATTTTTCTTAAATCCATGAAAAACTTCGCTAAAGCCTAAATACTAGGATTATTTTATGAGCAAACTAAATATATGAAAGCAACACTGAATACACACATACTCGTAAAAGCTTTTCCACCAACCAATTAATTAGTGAATCACCCATTTGTAGACTATCACCAGCAGTTTTCCAGCGCATCGACAATGTTTTCCTATACAACTTGCAGTTTATTTCTATTATATGGATTACTCATCGCCGACTAACCGTAAGCTCTAGTTCTTCGTCCCACGCTTTTGGCGCTATTAACCGGCACGCCTACATATAATTACTCCACAAAATGCTAACTCAATTTCTATGCCACATAAATGGTAATACTCCTGCCTTCAAGTTTACTGTTTCTAGAGCGTCTGCTGTTCATCCTTAACCGCCCACCGTTACACATAAAATCGGTGGTAAGGTGCAACCAAATATGGCGTAACTACGTAGCGGCAATGCATCTCCGCCTTCTAGTGCTGATGCTGCTGCTTCTGCTGCCTGTTGCGGCTGCTCCTTCTCCTCCTCCTCCTCCTCCTCCTCTTCACACGCCACACTTTGTCACTGCTGGCTTGCGGTCACTTCTTCAGACGGCAGACGCATTCAATGGCAATACCAAAGCCCATAAATGGTGTGTTGCAATGGCGCCACAAGTAACAACCATAGCCACTGCCATTGCAATCACCAGCGATGGCACTTCTGTGAAGATGCATTGTTGCTGCTGCTACATACATACTCACATATGTATGTATATATGTACTATAGATAGTTACATATAGGTAAGTATGTATGTAAGTCAGCGCGCATTTTATGTCGATCAAGTCTGCGTGAACAGCGGTTGGCGGCGCCTATCACTATTGTGGCGTAGTCAATGCGCATAGTTATTGCTATTGCACGCGGTGTTGGTGGCGGCTGTGGTGTGGTGTAGTTGGTGGCGTTGGCTACGGTGATGGCAGTCAGAGCTGGCTGGTGACAACAGCCGCGCCGCGCTTTTAAGCATTTATGTCAACAAAAATTCTTGACGACGCGCTGCGCATGAGGACGCAAGTACTGACTATGACGCTTATGTCTGTATGAAGCGGATTCAAGTTTATACATGGACATACATACATACATACATAAGTATGTATGTTAGTATATAAGTATAATTTAAGTTGTATGTTGCTGCCCCAAATAAGTGAAATATAGTGACAGTTATTAATTAAACTGGAAACGCCTCAAGTGGCGCTTCGATTGACACACATAAACGTGTAGAAGACAAGAAAAAGATAAAACTTAAAAAGCGCGTATTTTACTACAAGAGGTGCTTAAAAGAGCTTTTGCTTTACTGAGTTCCTGGAGAATTTAGTACAGAACCCTTAGGCGGTTTTTATGGCTTCTGCCACGAAAGGCAACTTAGTAGTAAGCTCTAATAGTCGCGCTTGTTTTATCTCGATATACAAATTCATCAATATCGCTATTTTGCATGATATAATTCGTAGTCAGAATAAAGGCGACACTAAAGTTAGTTGCAGCTTTTTGACAAAATTTTCAATAGAATATCTGTCAAAAAAGCTGCTACAAGCTTTAGAATAAATAGAGTTTATTTATTTCGATTATGAATATGCCCCATGAAAGGGGTGGGAGGCCCCAAGGTCATTGTGTATGTTGACGACCTTGCAGTGGTTGTTAGTGGAAAATTTCCACGAACTCTGTGCGACATCATGCAGGACAGACCAAGGTTAATTGAAAGATGGGCCAAGGAGAAATTCCTGGTAGTTAATCCAGACAAAACTGACTTGATTCTCTTTGAGAATAAGTACAAAATCCCCTCACTTCAGCTTCCTGGCATAGGCAACAAGGTTTTGAAGTTAGGTGAGTTTGCGAAATAACTAGGCGTAGTACTGGACACAAGACTTGGGTACTACTCTACTGTACAAGGTCTTGGTATGGTGGCCAAGTCGGAATAGGAATTCCACAACAATATTGTGGCAATTGAGATTGCTGGAAAACAATCAGCGAGAACAAACCTGTTGGAGAGACATACAGAATGGCCACACCGCAATCTTAAGAACGTAGTTCTACTGCACACGGGTTAATGTGCAGTAAGTCTGAACCTCACTACGTGGTATAGGATTTCCATTCCAGACAGAGATTTCGGGTCAGGAGGGGCTCAGCCACTCCACCTCTACACAGATGGCTATAAGCTAGACAGCAGGTTAGGAGGGTTGTTCTTCTTAACTTGGTTGGCGCTGGAAGTATCATTCCGCTTACCCAACCACTTTAGCGGTTTTCAGTCTGCAGTCGCTTCTATAAATGACGCGGTTGAACACCTACGTACAAGAGCAGGTATATAAAAATATCCTCATCTAATCAGACAGTCAGGCGGCAGTTTAAAAACCGTGGCGGACAGTCGCAGATCTCTAAACGAGATGGCTGGCCGGTATGTTATTCAGTTGGTATGGGGGAGGGGCATCGGAACATAGCAGGCAAGCAAACGGTTGACGAATTTGCGATGGAGGGCACATCAGCTCCACTTTATCAAGCATGGAAGGGTTAAGGCATACCGCTCGCTACCGGTAAGCACACTCTAAGGGACCTATCTCTTAAACTAGCAAGTAACAGGTGGGTAGCCTCACCACTTGCAGCAATACGAAACTTACGCGTCTAAAATGGGACGTTAAGCGGTGGAAAGATCTCCTCGCGCTGAGCAGAGGGGACCTATCCGCACCCGTGAGCCGGCTGACAGGCGATGTTGCCATCGGAAGGCACGCGGAGAGCTTGGGGATCCGACATAACGCCTTCTACAGAACCTGCAGAAATGCGAAAGAGCCAGAAATTGTGCGGCACCTGTTGTGCGAAAGCCCCGCACTTTGTAGAGGAAAACGAAAGTTCATGGGTTAAGGATTCTTCGAGGATCTAACCGACATAGACCAGGTGAGCACACGGCAACATCTGGGTTTCGCGAAATCCCTACAATGGTTTGAGTAGGAGGGTTCGTACGATCCACTTGGTATCATACCGGATCCACAAACTAAGGGCCTAGGTGTGCTAGTGGGGTCATCGGCAGCCACTTCAACCTAACCTAACCTAACGTATGCCTAATTGTTTTTGGTGTTATTATCAATATACTACCTATAAGTTGTCGATTATTTCATGTTTATTTAATCTCGATATACATATATGTTTATCACTCTCCTTATAGATATATTGCATGACATAATTAGCAATTAGAAGAAGAAGGAGAGGAATTAGCAATACAGGATTTGTTATCGATATTTTATCGATTTATTATCGATAACATTACCAGAAATTATTCTACGTCGTAGTCATATTAATTTCAATTTCGACACATATACGTATGTACCTTTCATTATCGTTATCGATATTTTCCTTGATATCATTAATGGCATATTTATCGAGATAATTAACCGCCAAAATTTTGATGATTTATTTAATATTTTATGGATATGTTATAGATTAATTATCGTTGTAACCATCAGTGTGTTTATCGAAATATTTATCGCTAGATTTTTCGATAGTATGGTATTTAAATATGTTTTACGACCTATTTTTAACCGACTTCAATCGATAGCTAGTATATCAGGTAATATAATCGATATCAATTTTTTACAATGAGGTTACCAATATCGGGTTTTATCATATTTTTATATATATATTCATATAATAGCGCAGTGATCTTTGCTTCATGCAACTTTTAACCCATAAGCCTAATTTATTTTGGAGTTATATAAATCTCTAACATAAATACGTCTTAGAACCGTAGAGTTCGTAGAGTAGAGTAGAGAAATGACAACCTGTGCGCTCTCTTTTTTTGGAATGAATATTGAATTTTAGGATATAAACTAATGTCAACAGATACATAGTTATCTTCTCACCCGGAAGGAAGCCATCACTAGTAGCAACAATAAAACTTTACCTCACTTTAATACTTATATTTATTTTCCAGCACTCACAAATGATTCAAAAGTATGCCAAGTACATTTATGCACTTCAACTTATCTAAGGAATGCAATGAATTTACATAAATATTTGTTGAACAAAAAATACTTCCATGGAAGCTCCAGCAATAGCGATGCTAGTGATTCTCAAGAAGGGTGAGTTTTTGACTGGGCGACTGCTGCCAACAACCGCAAAACATGCAACTACATATATCGATTTTTCTGAAAGATGGGAAGTAAAGGTTGGAAGTTCTCATCATCAGCGAAGCCAAAGACAATAACAAAAAAACAGTTGGCTGTTCATATGAATGCCACAACTAAAGATATTTCAGTATACTTATAAGACAACAATACCGCAGACTATTTAGTTCCCACGCCCCTAAAAAAAAAATAAAAATAAAAAATAAAAACCATAAATAAATAAAAGAAACTAAATTATCTACTTCCTCAATGGCGTTGTTGTTGGTAACCACAAATTTGCGTTTTTTCATTTTTGTTTTTACTCAAGTTGCTGTGCGAAACTTCGTGGGACAGTTCAGTGGCACATACACACACAATCACACTTAACATCTATATAACTTGGTGTGTAAGTACAAAAATTGTCTGTAAATGAGTGACGACGTGTGGCGAAGAAGTTTGCAATCAGTGGCTGTGTGCACCGCTAACAGGTGAGTATTAACGAAGTAGCACGTATGCATGTATGTAAATAAGATATGTATGCATATGTTAGTGAAATTATAGTTTAAGTGTAGTGAATGCTTTAGAAAAATCCCAGCACAGTTAATGGCACTGGAAGAATTCACGGGATTTTTATTATCATTCCCGTGATCTCTTAGTGGCATCTATGGTGTAGGGTAGTAAACAACAGTGAGGATAAACAAGCAGTGAAATTTATAGTGTTTTTAGAAAAGTGATGAAATGTTAGCTCACAATATAATTAGGTAAGTAAATGAGTAGTCTGGTACAATTTTCTGGTCAAAATCGAAAATTAGTTAATATATCGTCGAAATAAAGATTAAGTGATTAGTGCTAAAAAATTTTTGTGATATATTATTTGACCACAACTAGAGTTATTGCATTCTTTAAAAGAGCTTTAGGCAATTTTCTGAGACCACCGCAGTTTTTGTTTAGTAACTGCAAACGTAAGGTCGAAATTCGACTGTATTCAACCATTATTTGGAATTTATTTTTAAATTAAAAAATTTATTTCGTACCTATTAGAAATCTTCAAAAATGTCAGAGCAAGCTAGACCGCAGTGTGAAGTACTTAAGCGAGATCCTGGACGACAAGCTATCCTGGAAGCCAAATATTGAGGAGCGACTTAAAATGGCTTAAGTTGCTTAGAAGCGTAACTCGGAAGAGATGGGCTCTGTCCAAAGTTAATATTCTGGTTGCTATGTATTTCATATGAGGGAATTGCCAAGTGAAATTCATCGGAAAAGTTTACATTAGTTAAAAAGTTAGAACGCACGCAAAAAGTTGATGGAATCAGTGATTCACTTCGGATCATTACTACTTTAGCACTTAACGATGTCCTTAGCGTCGTGTATACCGATACATTGCCGGTAAGCCGACTGCTGTTCATTCTGCCTTCAAGCATAAGAGCACAGAATTCTCCTATGAGTTCTCGGCGATTTTTGGAAGTATGTATCATACCTGAGAAAACTGTTCAGTGCTGACCTACTAGAGTGAGTGGGAGAAAAGAAGAATCCGTGACAGGGGTTAATTAAAGAAACTATGGATGGCTCGAAGTTGAACTAAAGAGTTGAAGAAGGGTTCTCCTATGAGGAAGTCTCCGAAAACACCAAGCTGTTACTTCGGGATTTCCGCAGCGTATTTGGAGTAGAAGTGGTTTCGAAGGCAGATGACTGGCTATGCAACAGCACACTCCGATTCTTATTCTTATGTAGGATACTAAGATAGGTTGTCGGTTTGAGCCGAAACCAAAAACATTTGCCAATTTTCTCAGTATTTTGCAGGTATCCTCCAGATGTACACGGGTCGGATAGCCAATCGACAATCGTGGTTTTATAATAAACGATTTGAATGCCAGACGATCGACAACCGGTTGTGATGACAACCAGTCGACCCATTTTTATCCTTAAATTCGACGAACAAACAAGCAACTAACTCAAATAAGTTACCTGAACTTAAAAACAATGGATAGGTCTCAAAAAGAATGTACTAATTTTTAAGATATATGAATTCTTTCGAAAGTGCCTTCAAAATCCTTGTGCATACTTGGGGTATTTCTTCTCACTTGCTTTCAGTTTGTAAATATTTAGTGCTGGGGGTATACAGGCATGGACATAGAAAAGCTGCCTGCAGCCTGAAAATACGAAGAAATTGATAATCATTTGGGACACTAAGCGGAAGTTGTTTGACTAAGCTACAAACCACAGTTACTTCTTATAAATATGTATTTCACAATTCCTAGAAGATTTTAATGAAACCAGCCAGATTTCGAGAACCATATAAATTCAGAAAAGCGTCAACAGATCTTAAAATCAACGGAAACTTTCCGAGAAATTTCCAAAAGTATAACGAATCCCGATAAGTGTCCATAACTAACCATAACAATCGAAAAAGTATCAGGTAGATCCCTAAAAGTACTCAAAAAATTTCAAAAATATAAACAATTCTAGGTTAAGTTGGCTTAGGTTTGATGGTTGTCCTCAGTTGAGAAAACAATTGAACATAACTGAAATTCTTTGTGATATCGTGTAATTTTGAATGGTAACTACAACTTAATCGATGAAACACCATTACCTATCACGAATATGCGGGAATGGCTAATTTCAAAATCCAAATAAATTAAAAAGTTCAGAAGAGACGAAAAATCGAAGGACAGAGATAGATAGAAGTCAGAGTTATTGGAACAGTTTTCGTGGACTCGCCCATAAAAGTTTAATATTCATACAGAAAATCACTGGAAGTATTTGAGGTGACATTTTTATGGAGATTTGTGGTATCATAATCATTATGACAGAAAATTTTAAGCGAATGGAGAAAGGGAAGACGACATCACCTATAATCTGAAATTCTCATGATGCGTATCTCTAGAAACATTTACCGAGAGTACTTAGTTGTGGTATTTTACATATTTCAGGTTATTAAATTTAAGTTCGCAATATTAAAACCCATGCGCGGCACCTGCCCGGAAAATATTAAGCATCTTTAAATTATTTCTCAAATTTATAAAAAAACACGTGAGGAGAAACACACGGGTATAACCGATTATAAGTATATGTATGTGTATGTATATATATTTAAATCCTAAATTAAGCAATTAATTCCATATATGTTTATATATACATACATACATATATATTCATATATGCCCAAAGTAATAAACCAAATGCTAGAATTAAATGCGAATTTGTCCGCCCCTTTTAACGTTTCTTAGATTTCTAAAAAGTAATTATGACTTTTTAATTATTAATATTACATGCAGATTGGGCAAAATGATGAAAAATAAGAAATCATAAACAAACGAGTTGCTCGCTTAAGTCTTTCGTTTTAATTCAATTAGCACAATTAGCAACAGCGAACGCTAAAAGCGAGCAGGCATTTCGTCAATTACAGCTTACTAAAGCGTTTAAGTTGAACAAACTGCCTGCTGATGTGAAATCCCTGCAGCGATAACTACAAACAAACAAATGTTATACATACATTCATACACACAGTTAAACATTTATACTCCCCGGAGCGCTTAGCTAGTATGTATTTATACGCTCTAGAATTATTTTGCGCCTCAGCGGGTAAAATGGTGGCTAAGCAGTGGAAACATTTTCGTAAAGGCAACAGCCAATACAGGCTTGAAAAATCACCTTTCACACTCGACGCTACAATTAGCAGTTCAATGACCCACTTCAAAGTCTCACTAAGCATGAACAAAAAGGCACAAAGGAAGTTTAGAAATGAAACCAAAGCAAAAAAAAAAGAAATAACCAAACAGTACCAATGCAACAACAACAACAGTATTGGCCACTGTAATCATAGCAAAGCGTAGAAACTAACTGAAGCAGCGATGATGGTGATGAGCAGGCAAACGGTGGGTAGTGAATTAAGCTTCAATTTAGATTTTTCAGAACACTTGTTGCTGTTGTTGTCGTTGCTTTTATTGCTTTTACTAGCAACTGACAGTAGGCAGGCAGTGCATAATAGCTAGAGCAGAAGAAAGATAATTAACTTTTTCAATGTCCGCAAGCGGCAGTGAGAAGAGTGAGTGTGGCCCTTCAAATGCAACAAGCGTACAGTAGGGCGCACAAATGATGTCAAAAGTTTACCATTGTCATGCATTCCCATGGCACATAGAAGTACGAAAGTGCGCAAGTGAATATGATTGTGTGTGTGAGTGTTGTGAAGTTTTTTTTTTGTTTGGTGTTTCGATGTCGTTTTTTTTTTTGCTTTCCACCATTCTCTTCCGGCTAATACTGGCACACTACGGATATATAT